TGCGGATCGTCGAGCCACCGCGGCGGCGTGCTGTCGGCTTCTTTGCCGCCGTGACCCCTTCACCCGCACCGTCCCGGATTCGGGTGGGGCGCAGTGGGTTGGCTGACGGGCATTCGTGTACTCGCGTGGCTGCGTGGCACCGCGTGGCTGTGTTGTTTCTGGTTGTCGCCCGTGCTGTTTGTGTCTGCTGATCGGTGTTACTACACACTCTCTCCGCCCTTTTTTCTTTTGCCTAGATTCTCACACCAAGAGCGACCATGGCGAAAACAAAACTGCCGACGATGAAGCGTAAGCTGAAGCGGATTGCCGTGTTTCTGATTCTCTTCATTGCGGTCACGAATTTTCTGTACCTCAGCTTTGTCCCCGCTGACGATGATGGTGCACCGGCACCCAACAACCTCCGCCACCCGCGAGCCTCCGCAGTGGACGACGCAGCGCTTGCTTACATCCCACGCCGTGTTGTGGATACGTGGAGCCGGCGGGAGTATCTGGTTGTGCTGGGCATCCCCTCCACCGACGACGAGGCGAGGCGAACACGACGCAACCTGCAGCGGTCGACGTGCTGGCGGTTCCCCGGAGTGGCGACGAGGGCGAACGACTTCACCGGTGCGATGCTTGTGCTGTACGTCCTTGGGCGGCACCCGTCGCACGGCTACGACTACTCTGCCGCGCTGCTGGAGGAGGCGTCGCAGTGGAACGACGTGGTTGCGCTGCCAATGAACGAGGGCCGTGTGACGACTAACAAAACAATTGGTTCCTATGGTTCTTGGGGCGACGAGGCAAATGTCGGTTTCAGTCGCAAGACGTACATGTGGCTTGACCTTGCGCACCGCCTGTTCCTGACTGCGAGGTACATTGCGAAGGGCGATGACGACATGTTCCTCCGTGTGCCGCTGTTTGTTGCTCACCTGCGCCTACTGCCGCGCCGAGGGATCTACATGGGATACCACATGCTTCCTCCCTCTGGTCCGGAAAGATATATAAGAGGTTACACGTTTATGGTTGGCTGGTGCTACACCCTGTCGAGGGATGTGGCGGAGGCGTTGGTGTCGTACAAGCCGCTGCGCCGCCTGGCCTACCTGCCGTACAGCAAGGAACGCGACCACGAGTTCGCACCCCTTCTTTTTTATGAAGAAGACGTCATGGTCGGTTGGGTTCTTGGGAGTGTATTAAAGTACAAGCCAATGGTATACGTCGAGATGCAGGATTGTCATTTCCATGACGCTCGCAATGGCACGGGGCACTCGCAGGTGGTGCCGACCTCGATTTGTGTCCATCACGTGCGGGAGGACGACTACGCTGCACTGATGGCGCGCTTCGGCAACGACACATCGCTTGTCGCCCGTGTGGAATGGGTCTCCGAGGACACGATTTCTTCTCAGTGCGATTGACAAATGGACGAAATGATCTGTTTTCTGTGCGTGTTGGATACTAATTAATTGCTTGATTGGTTGCTGCATTCCGGTTTGTGCCCTGTGTGCTCCGTGGCCGAACGAAATGGAATGTGTCATTGACCGCCCCGTGCCCCCGTGGAGCGTGTCACTCCCTGCCCTCGACCCGCGTGCGGGAGGTGGTTGTGGAGTCAGTGGGCGCCCGTTGCGTTGTGCTGCGTGTGTGCTGGGCCGCCAATGAACGATGTATGTGAGTCTGTGTTTCTGATACATTTTATTCTGTTAATTGTGCTGTTGGGAAATGGAGTGACTCAGCATTTTTTTTTGTGTGTGCGTTGCTTGCTTCGCCCTTCCCGCGCCTGAGCCCTCACCTCGCGGTTGGGAGCCGCCGGGGATGCATTCTTGTGTTTTCTTGTGATTTATTTGTGAGCGGAGCGTCCCACGGTGCGGCTGCTGTCAGTGCCGATGGTGTGGCTCTCGGTGTGTGGAGAGTGCGTGCCGTGACGCTCACCCCGTCGCCGATGCGCCGAGCGGGCGGGACAACGCCAGTGGCACACAGTTCCCTGCTTGTTGGCGACGCAGCTGTCCTTTTCTTTTCACTGCTTGTGTTCACTTGTAGAAGGCTGCACAGTGTAGGGGCGTCGCGGACGGACGGGAAGCAGACGACGGGTGGACTCGCTGGTGGGCGGCGGGCTTGCGGCGGCTTTCTGCGTTGCGGTGGAACGCCGCCGGCCTCACTCTGGCGAAACGTCTGGCGCTGGGCACGAAGTTGGGTGGCGAGGACGTGTTTTTTTTTTGTGTGTGATGCGTGAGACGGAGAAGTCCCCCACCCTGAAGCCACTGCTTCTGGCCTGGCGGGGTGCAGCACCACAGGAATGCTCGCAACTGTCGTGGCGGCGGTGTGTCCATTCTCGTCCGTGAGAGGCCACAGGCGGTGGCAGGACCGGCCCCTGTCGCCCGCATCGAGCTGGCGCAAGCAACCAACAGACCAGCGGCGGGAAGTAACATGATGGCGTCATCAGCATGTCTCCTTCCCTCCTCTGCAAAGAGCACGACGGCGGAGGACTTGGATGGGCAGCTCTGTGCGGACGGGCCACAGCTAATGGACGCCGACGTCGAGGCACACACGGAGGCTTGGGACCGCAACATCCCATCAGACTCCCGTGGCGATACCATTGCGCGGCAGTGCACTGAGAATGCACTCCAGGCCGCCAACAGCGGAGAGTGCACGAGGTTCACCGAGCGACAGGGCAGCACAGCACCCGACACCGCCCTTTCGAAGGATTGTGTCGTCACCCATTGGCCGAACGGCTCTCACTGGGCAGCGATCACTGCATCATTCTCCTTGATGTTCCGATCGGGAACGACGAAACACCCACCGTGGTGCTGGGGCCTAACCGGAAATTATTAGCATGGAAGAAGGCGGATTGGAATAAGCCCAGCGAAGTATTCAGCCAGCTCTGCAGAATCCCACGAGAATTAACCAAAATGTGCAGCACGGAGAAGCGCGTTGTACTAGGAACGCGGAGAGCCACCAGGGCAACGGTCCCGGCATGGAATCACCAGCCGTCCCCATTCTGGACTCCATGGCTGGCGGAATTGGACCGCGCCATCGCCGCCGCACCCCACGCAGAAGGCGGTCAGCGGCTGGACCTCCGTCGCAGGGAGGCGCTGCGCGAAGCATCCGAAAGCCGCTGGCACACACTCCGCTCCGAGCTCGAGGGCACGGACGGCAACAGGCAGCAGGTAGTACGCCCGTGCTTAAGCCCCTCGTTCCTTGAGCACGCCAGCCATGAATTTCGATGGCCCAATGCTCAGCAGACACCTGAAGGTCAGCCACCTCATGAAGCTGTAGGCGGCGAAAGCAACACGGCACCCAAAGTCCCACCCTCCGCCACCGATCCCGACGAATGCGATGGACCTCACCCAATAAATATGGCAGAGCCCGGCTACACCCTACAGC